AATGACCATGAAGATAGGTCAGTGGGATTCTTCCATTCAGATGGAAGACAATTAAATCAAATATTTGATCTCACATCTTATTTTAAATTATATATCCGAAGTGACTAAGATCGAATGGCTTGTGTTAATAAGTTTTTTTGTTGTTGAAGGTTTAGATTTTAGTACTTTGTGTCCTATTTGATAGATAATGCATATAGGATATATCCCTTGTGTTATATCTAATAAATAATGTATATTTGATATAAACACTTGTCATATATCTGATAGATAATGTATATCAGATATAAACACTTGTCTTTTATCCGATGGATAATGTATATCAAATATAAAAACTTGTGTCATATCAAATAAATGATATATATCGGATATGATCATTACAAGACAAGTATTAAGAATTCTTTCCAAGTGTTGAATCAAATGCTAAATGTATTATTTACAAATCTAATGGTTGAATTAGAAAGAATTCTTTATACTTGCTTTGTAATGGTCATATTCGATATATATCTGAAATGACAATTACAAGACAAGTATTAGGAATTTTTTTTAAGTGTTGAATAAGATGTTAGATGTATTATTTACAAATCCGATTGTGGAGACACTACAAAACAAATGACTTTTATCTACAAAAATCACCAAGAGAAATTTCCGCGGGTGATTACCGACAGATCACCTATAAAATACCAATGGTTCAATAAAATTCGATGTTTTTCAAGAAAATACCAATGGATCACTAGAGAATCTTTGGGTAATCTGTCACTAATTTGAATTACCCACCAACAATCTATACACCAACTTTTGTGACAATATTCTGACGAATCACCCTTCAACGACATATTTTCTAGGAAAAAGTCTGTAAGAAAAAATCTTTCAATTAATAGTGAGACCGACAATCTCCTTCTATTTCTTGATAACGTAAATAGATAGTCGTGATAGAAATACTTAGAAAAAATGGTGCTGAAACTTATAAGCGAAATAAAATCCGAACTTATAAATATAATGATTCATTTTGGATTCTTTTTGTATTTTTCTCTTTTAATTAACATATTATATTATTTAATTTTTTACTATCTTGTTATAAATCAACATATTCTATTATTAAGATTTGTTTTAATTATATTATGAAATGTTGTTATTAACTAATTCTTTAAAATAACATTTTTTTGTCATTTTACATTTTTCATCTAGCTTATCAACTAGATTTTGCGAAACGTAATTAGTTTATCAGGTAGCATATCAGCTAATATGTAGCTTATAAGCTAGTTTACCAAACATAGCCTAAGTTCTTAGAAAAAATTCAAACAAATAAATCTTTGAACTTTTGAAAAGTGAATAAATAAAACATTGAACTTACTAAAACCGACAAAAACCCAAAGCATTTTCAATTTTGAGCGATTAGGTCCTTGAACATTCTTTTGAATGAATAAATTTTATCTATAAAACAAAAAAAATTACCATTTCTTTTTTCATGTAACAACAAATTAGTAGGAAAATACAAAAAACAAATAAACCGAAAAAGTTAAAGCATTTTTAGTAACTTATTTATTTTTTGGATTTAAATGACAATCACATGTGTTTGTTATGACCTTATGATTGTTTTTTGAATTAGAATTTGATAGATTTGGGATGTTATTGATCTTATTTGACCATGTGTTTATGTTGGTCTTAACCATTTGATTTGATAATAACATAAATACATCTGATCTAATACTTAGAAACATTCTTGAAGTTTTGTCTGCCTTTAAAATAAAACAATTCAGATTGACATCTAGAGCCATTATCTGGACGTCGTATCCAGATTTGCAAAAATGGATTCCATATCCAGATTTACACCCAGATAGGACATTTGGATTTACTCAACATGAATCATATATGTATTTAGATATCCATAAGTTAAGTGGATCCGAATAAGATACATGATTCGGATTCAATACTTCATAAATCACAAATCTTGTTGGATTCCTGAATATAACTTATATTTCAGAGAGTAAATTTAAAAAATAGGATTTTCCCCCTTAATCTTAGTTATTATCTGTATTGATCCAAGAGTGAAAAATTCCCACAAAATTGAATACTAGTTGAAGTGAATTCAAGATAGTCATCAAAGCGGATTAGATTGTCATCTAGCCGATGAAGGAGCAACATGAGATAACTCAAAAGTAGTATGACAAATACTACTTTTGGTGAGCCGATTTTTAAGTGCAAACTTAACCAACAAGTTTGGCTCACTAACTCTACCAACTATTGTTCTGGTATGAGAACATGTTTGAAATTTCAAGCAAAATAAGTTTTAAAGTACTATACTATTTTAATATTATTGTTCCTTTTGCATACAAAAGGATGAGTTGTATTAACAAACGTCTACATCATATCGTCAAGATACGCAAATGCTGAAATGAAGAGTATAAACACGCATTGAACAACGAATCAGATGAAGACACACATTAAAGTTGGATAACATCATTTAATACAATGGTGGCTATAAAATGTCATCATTATCAAATATTGCAACTCATTTGTTTTGAAAGAAATGATGTGAAATGGTCCAAAAGATTGCTCATAATTTCATTAGACAAAATCGGTATCAACAATCTTTTGGACCATTTCACTCCTTTAGATCTGAAATAGTACATTTTTCATTACTCTTTCAGTCTTTGGCAAAATTGTCTTCAACAAAATTGCCTAGGATAAGGTATTACCTCTTTAGTTTTCACAAAAAATCTATAATTCTTTGTTTTCAGTAAGCATACATAATTAAAAAAATGAAAATATGTTATGTTTGTATTCAACTCCCTTCTATAAACATTTTATGTGTTAGTCATTATCATTTTAGAACCAACAGTTTAATTGTCAAATAATGAAATGACATTTAACTCCATTCATTTGAACTTTCTACTCAATTAACAGAATTGAAACGTAAACAATGATAAATAACAAAATCAATTTTTTATTATTTAAAATAATAATAATATATAGTGAATTCCATAAATAAAATTTTATTCATAAAAAATTTAATGAAATGATAAATTCCTTCATGAAATCTGATTTCATATATAGAAAAGGCAACATTTAATGATATAAGAATAACGGTCACATAAGAAATTTGGTCCGCATATTATCTCTTTTGTACTTGATTTGCCTTTTTTATTGAATACTTCTTTCTCAAATGGATAATACAAAATGCGGTGAATTTATATACATCAAGTGGCGTTCATATAAATAATTGGGTTGCTATTAAAGACATATTTTTATTAAATAAATTATAGACTAAAGGATGTTATATAAATATTTACCCAATAAATATTTATTAATAAAATTTAACATTATCATCGAATAAGATTTTTGTCAACTAAAATGACATCGTATGTATAAATCTGGTAAGCATCAGTGGCGGATTCAATACATAGTGGTTGGGGTCCTAGGCCCCCAACAAATCCAGCAACTTTTTTTTAAAAAAAGGCTATAAAAAATTTGTTTGGTAAATTTTCCTATTGTGCACCCAACAAGAATAAGACAAGGCCCCCAACAAGAACAAGGCAAGGGCCCCCAACTTGATATCTTGATTGTTAATTAGTCCATTTGTATTGCACATTGATATTTTTGTTCGAAATATAACATATAAAAATTATACACCTCGATAAATTAGTAAAAAGTCATATGAAAATCGATCTGAATAAGTTATCTTTATTATGTTAAGTGAACCGTTTAAGCCGAAAAAGAAAATCTAAAACCGTTTTCATCCGGATGAATTATTTGGTTTTGAATTATTTTTCTACACGACTACACCCCTTAAGTGTGCCCCCTACTTTAAAAATTTCTGGATCCGCCACTGATAAACACTACACGTGGTAACAGTCATCGACTTCACTTACCGTGTAAAACTCTTCGTCCTTGCCTTCATTCTTGTTCCTTGCTATATTTGTCAGTTAAAGTAATATGATTTAATAAACACTTACTTAATTAAGCGTTTGATACACAACTTCTGAATTGAACAAATAAAAACACATTTTTTTTTTTTAAATAACAAAAAGAAAAGTTAAACTTTTATAATGAATTACATTCTATTTCAATAGTTTATCATTTTAAATTTTATAATAATATTTAATAAGTTTATTATTACAACAAACTTTCATTATTTCAATATTTAATTGGTGAGAACAATAAATATATATATTTCAGTCTTTATCGACATGTAATTTTGGAATATGCAAAATATTATCCATTTTATTACGGTTTGCTTATTTTGAATTTTTTTTAAAGGATCTATTAAAACCAAAATGAAAATCTTTCTTTTATCTTAACTAATGTATTAGTTGGTCGACCTGCTTGATATATCTGAAAACACACCTTGTTGACGAAATTGAATCATACACGTTCTTGGCAAATGATCATATGGGAAGGGAAGTTATGGTGAGAAACATAAGAAAAGATCTGAACTCTTGATTACTTTTAATCTCATGTCCACCCATGAATTACGTTTTAGAAGGGAATTGATTTATGCATCTCGGTGCACCTCATTGGTGTTGACATTCAATTAGAATTGATTCAAAGGTGAAGATCTCTTCTTACGCTTCTTACCATAACTTCCCTTCTCACCGGAACTTAACCCATGCTCTTATCCCAAATCATGAATTATTTTATTATTTAGATGCAAAAACAAATACAACAAAAATACAATCTTGAAAAAAGGTCCTAGCCCAAGCCCGAAGTATCAAACGTCCAAGTCCAACCAAAAAAGAGAAGACCCAAAAGTGGCCCGATCACACAAATAAAAAATAAGGCTTTTAACGTTTATATAATGTCATGACGCCTTGAAACGAACCCTGGTTCACCTTAAGAAAGATTAAATGGAACTTGATGACACTTTTTTCTTGTACATATTCACAAATGAATAGAGATAATCAACAAAATGATCCTTGGAAAAAAAAGCAAAAACACATTACAAATTTCAATTTGTCGTCAAGTTAAAATTTTAAACATCACACCCTTTCGGTTTGGGATCAAGTGCGAATAGATGGGCCATTTAAATACACTTATTGCGCCAGGTGTTCTCTCCAGGCTCCACCTCCATCATCTTCAACTTCTCCACCTTTCCGACGACTCCTTATCTATCCGGCGGTCGATCGCCACCACTCGCCATCACTTCCGTAGCCTTTTTCCCACCAAATGTGATGTAAATCTCCGTCACCGCAAAACAATGCAAGAAGCCCTTCAAATCCCCTCCACCCCCACCGCCCAACTCCACCTCCTCACGCCACCCAGTCCAACAACCGTCCATTTCCGACCACCCTCTTCCGCCTCCAAAACCTCCATCTCTCCCAAACTCTCTCCACCACCATCATTTCGCTCCACTGAAGAACTGCAAGAAAAACTCATCTACCTCGATTCATTTGAAATAGACTTAATCCCACTCCTCACCACACACCCTCCACTCTTATCCACCACCCTCTCCCACCTTAAATCCACCGTCTCCTTCCTCTCCACCACCATCCTCCTCCCCCAACCCGCCGTTCGCCGCCTCATCTACATCTGCCCTCAAGTCCTCACACTCCCACTCACCTCCATCGTATCCACTATTACCTTCCTCCTCCGCGAAGCCCATGTCCACACCGACGACCTCCACCAGGTCATCCACCGCCGCCCAAGACTCCTCACATCCGACGTCAAAACTCGACTCCGTCCAACCCTTTACTTCCTCCAAGGCACAATCGGGATCTCCGGTGTGAACAAACACACCCACCTACTAACTTGCTCCGTGGAAGACAAATTTCTCTCCCGTATCGAATACTTCCACGAAATCATGGGAATTTCTTATAAAGACACAATCTTGATGTTCCGACGGTTCCCTTCGCTGTTTTGCTATAGCATCAAGGACAACATTGAGCCGAAATTCAAGTATTTGGCGGTGGAAATGGGGAGGGAATTGAGAGAAATGGTGGAGTTCCCGCAGTACTTTTCGTTTAGTTTAGAGAAAAGAATAGATCCAAGACACCGGCGGTGCGTCGAGAGGGGGGTTTGTTTGCCATTACCGATGATGTTAAGATCCAGTGAGCGGCGGTTCCGGGATAAGATGGAGGTGTGATGTATCATATTATAATTCTTCTGTAATTTCCTTCGTAATTCGTTGTCATTATTATTGCTATTTTTATGTTGGTAAAGCAAGATAATATCTTCAAAAGATCGACCTTGGCCTCCATATGTGGTTTATTTTAGGGTTGGGTAAGTGTTAGTTAATTCGCTATCTAATCTATTTAAAGTAGAGGCAACGAAATACGTAATTATTCATATTCATACCCTTTTTATTAAGATAGCAGGTAACAAAAAAAAAGTAATGGATAAATGATAAAAAAATCATTTTAAACTAAACATCAACATATAAGTAAAATATAAGTTAATAAATATAATAGGGTAAGAGTTTTTTTGTCATTATTCTTACCGAGTAAAATTACCTGTCCTTAAAATATTCACTTGGTAAGGTAAGTATTAGACGGTAAGTATTTATTAAACGACTATTAAATGTTGGATTACCTTCTTCTAACATTGCTAAAACCAAGTGTTTCAGTTGGCTCTCTAAAGAGCCATAGATGTGCTTCTTTTTCTATGACACAAATGAGGCAACATTCAAAAAATCATCATTAATTTGATTACATAGATCTAACTCAACAAGTTTTATCGCCGAAAAGTATTTTTCAACCATAACAGTTGCAATGGACAAAACCAGTGTTAGCTTCAATAATTGGTAGTCTGAAGAATGAGAAATATGTTTTCTTGTTTTCACCATCAATCTAGCAAGGTCAGCAATGCCATTTAAAATGACAAATATGTTAGCATTATACACAAGGTGATAGTAGATGTCAAGTTTGTACTCAAGAATGAGTCACCAAAATCATGTGAATACGTCTCACTTAACTTCAATAGGCTTGATTCGTTAAATTGAGAAAATCAATTGTGTAAATTCAAAGTTATCATATTTTGAAGCAAGTCGGTGCTTTTCTCACAAAAACAATCACCGAACTCTTGAATCTGCATATCCAAAACAATATTGAATAAATCATAATAACAATGCCGATTGCTAATGTTCTTCATTTTCCTTGAATTTCTTGTATTAACATAACCTTCCGTCATATCCAACTTGACAATCTTATATTTATCACAAAAAAAGTAACATTTATTAAAAAGTTGATCGAGTGAGTACTGAGCTGATCGACTTTAAATCATGTCGTCGAGATGATCGAGCCGTCGAGGTTTTGTTATTTCTGAAATCGAATTCGTATCACGGACGTATCTTTTCAATTCGGAATGTGGGATTTGGGTAAGGCCGTAAGGACTAAGGGTTTCAAAATATGGGCCGAAGAAGTAAATTGGGATTTGGGTTTTAGATATAATAAGTTTAGGCCTTTGCCTTTTGACTTTGATTTGGGCATTATTAACTATATAATTTATTGGGTTTATTGCTTTGGCAGAATAGAAGGTGGGGTCCAATGGAGTATCTTAATATTTTTTTTTTTTCAATTTTTCTTTGCTAACTTTTGAATCTTTATTAAATAATACGGTTGTATTTTTCATAAATTTAATTTTTTTTATTTTTTGACAAAGGGATAATATGGTGGCATGTACTACCAGTGGCACTGAATTGGGTTCGTTTCTGATGGTGCGCTTGGTATGCAGAATAAGATAGGGCATGACAAAGGGAAAAAAAATTAAGGTTCCATGCTTTACATAAGATTAGAATAAGACTGGAGATGATTGAGAGGGACATCAAGATAGGTGGAACAAGATTGATAAATTACTAAACTAATTATATGTTAATTGAAACACACTAATATTCCATAATTCTTTCACCTGCTTACTTTATCATTATCTGTCCAGTTCTATCCAATTATGTTTTGTGTACCAAATCCACCCTAGATATACCTTCTAATATGTCGATTATTTTTCCACTTTTTGATTTGGGATGGCCAATAGTCAACAGTGTTTCCCAGTTACTTTGTTCCAATTCTGTTTTGTGTACCAAATCCACCCTAGACGTCTGAATTGGGATGTTCATACGTCATGTTTGTCCTATGCTCCATAACGTTCATATATGACTTGAGTGTGAGGTTATAGTGTTATAGAAGCAAAAACCTTCTCAATCATAAACTGCTGCATGTCCTTCTCTTTCTATTAATACAAGTACCTAGATGAGCTTATTAGCTATGTAATCTGGTTTGATGACTTGATATAGCCCTTATCACAATTTTTTGCATGATTGATGTTTGACCGGCCATGAAGAGAAATTTTGGAACAAGCTACATTGAAGTTGCATGTAACGAGTAAGGTAGTCCTGGTTATGCTTCTACAGTTGACCAGTCCTATTTGCACTCGTATATTTGGAAAAAGTGGAAAGGTGAATGGTTGTTCAAAGGTAACAAGGAGCAACAAACCCCTCTTTCTAATTCGGGTTCATAATATGCTTACCGTTTAGCAGTCTTACAGGTTCTGTCATTAATGCTTGCGGACATGCCACTGCTTTAAATGCACGTCTACCATGCTTTCAGGAAAATGTTTAGTTTTATATCAAGTTATTTGGAGCTTTAGTAAATATAAGTTGATGCATATATTTACCTTTTATTAAAGCTTGGATGCACGAGGGAATGAAACTCTAATAGCATTAAAGGCTGACAACCCTTGCTTGAAGTTGTTGGATTAGTGTCCAAGATCATAACTATATTGGCAAAGACTATTATCAAGAGTAGAGTCCTTTTTGGGTTGCCCTCATTAAACTGTTAAGAGAAATAATAAAAGGGAAATAATATTAATTAGAGTTAATATTATATGAAGTTCGATACGGCGTATAGTAGACAACGACACGTCGTGTGGTGTTGGTTCTATATGACGTATAAGGGAAAACTTACAATATGATTTTGAGATCAAGTATTAGCCATATAAGAGAAAAGATGTGATGTCCAAGGAATAAATCCAAACCCCTTCCTTTTTGTATAAATAGAGGGGATGTCTAGTTTTCTCTTGGCTAATTTTTCTCTCCTTCTTATTCCTACTATTTGTAAGAGTCTTTCGTTTATCGGGACCTTAGGAGTTCGAATATATTTCTCTTTGGTTCGTGGGTGTGAGCCATTAGAGGTATCTTCGGTTGGGTACTTGCCTCCATTTTCGGCAAAGGTGGTACGCGTGTGAAAAATTGGTTTTCTCAAAAGGTTAGTATTCCTTATTTATTATTTATTTAATTATTTATTTAAGTTGCTTTTAGTTATTAAGTTAAGATCCTTTAGGGTTTTGTTTCCTTCTTGCCCTAAATTAATTGTTTATTTCCGCTGCGTATTAATCTAGTTAGGGTATAGAAACTCCATCAGTGGTATCAGAGCCTATAGTTTAATTCTATTAGCACTTAAAATTGGATTATTAGATTGTTAACATATGATTAGTGTAAACAATTGAACATTATATTATTGTCTTATGATCATAGATTGTTAATTTGAATTTACATTATATTTTGAAATGTTTAAAATATACCCTAAATTTTAAAAGGTTTAAAATAGAATCCTGATTTTTAAAAATGTTTAAATAAACCTTTATACATATTATGTATGTATCATTACATCGTTAGTCAATTGATAGATCGGCTCACCCATAGTGAACAAACTAGAAGAGAGGTATAAGGCAGGTTGTTGTGCATCTCTAAAGAAGTCGGGTTTTTAACAAGCTTCGCGCTGATCCACTTCTCCGCTTCTCTGTGCGTTCAATGGAGCTACCGAGAAATTTTGATAGGATGATGTTAAGATTAAAAGTATTAATCTATAAGTACTAAAACTAAAATCCCGTTTTAGATATATGTATAAATGTGAATAGTATGCTAACCCATGAAAACCGCACATATCTCATATAAACTGTTAATGCGGCGCGTGTGGCTTACCGGCACTTTAATAAGAGATCATAAGTGAAAGGTGATGTGGGACTCGCGATTCTTGAGCTAAGTCGAGCCGGGGACCACGCGGGTTCTTGCATGGTTAAGTTCACCATCTAATTCATGATCTTCGGCAAACCAGTCATGAATAGTAGATGAGCATATTCGAGATTAACATGCCATTGATCAAATCAATGAATCTCAAAGGAACTAAGAATTTCATAGAGATTGAAATTGACATAGACTTGTCTACCTAAGATAAATTYGTGATATGATTACGGCAACCCTCTTCATWATCGAATCTAAAATATGGATCCTAGCCTTAACTTAAATTGGGTAATTAATTAAGGAATATTCATACTAACTAAAATTATTTTATCTCATAGATGACTACTGAAAATGGTGTGAATCCTCCCGCTCCAAATTCATCACATAACTTCTCCTTAGTCTCGGTTCTTGGGAGGGAAAGACTCACCGGTCCTAACTATATGGATTGGATGCGAAACCTTAGGTTCACTTTGAGGTACGAGAGCAAAGAGTATGTTCTCGATGAGCAAATTCCCATAATCAATGATGACTCAACCCAAGAAGWGATTGATGCTCACCAGAAACACTATGATGATGCAAACAAGGTGTCTTGCATCATGGCATCCTCCATGAGTCCTGAACTTCAAAAGACTTTTGAAAACACTTGGGCTTATGAGATGAACCAACAGCTGAAAGAAATGTTTCGAGCAAAGGCAAGCAAGGAACGCCTTGATGTTGTTAAATCAGTCATGACTTGCAAACCTAAACCTGGAGCTTCTATTTGTACTTTCGTCTTGGAGATGAAAGGGTACTTTGATAGGTTGGAATCTTTGAACATGGTGTTTGATACTGAGCTTTCCATCAACATGATCCTATCCGGTCTGCCTACTGTTTACAATCAGTTTGTGCTCTCATATCAAATGAATGGGAAAGAGACCTCAATAATGGAACTCCATAGCTTATTGCAAACTGCTGAACAAGGGATCAAGAAATCTGATGAGCCCTCCACCTCAGCAGTTCCGGTGTTGGCTATTGGTCACAATGCAAAAAAAAGAAAGACTTCTCATTCCAATTGGAAAGGAAAGGCCCCGAAAGGAAAGTCCAATCATGGGTACAAGAGAAAGTTTGAATCTGAGATTGCACCTACAAGTGATCCAAAGGAAGCAGTGTGTTTCTACTGCAACACTAAGGGGCACTGGAAGCGTAGCTGCCAAAAGTACTTGAAGGACCTCAAAGACGGTAAAGTCCAAAAGAGTGGTCAATCAGGTATGTTTATGATCGAACTCCACAATACTACAACTTCGAATTCGTGGATTCTCGATACAGGGTGTGGTAATCAGATTTCTTGATCCCTTGTTCAGCAGTTTAATTTGTAGGTTGCATGCTTAGTGTTGTTGGGATAGGACATCCTGAAGTTGTTAGTGCAATCTTATAGGAAGACCCGTAAATGCACGAAGAAGCTTTTAAGGTCGAGAATTTTATTTCAAGTGAGTTCAAGTAGTCTTAAAATTGGGTACAAGTTAAATGTATGTATTTTATGTAATTGATTCATTTTTTTTATGTTTGAATATGTGTCCACGAAAAATGCATGATATAAATAGGTGTTATGAAATGTGATCATTTAATGTTTTGTACAAAGTAAACTTTAAGGTGAAACATGCTAAATTCTTATGAAAAACAAACTATATGGAATATTGTTTTGATGTTTATGTCGCATGCTAATGACTTAGATTTTCGTGAAGTACATTCTGTATAAATGAGGTTCTCTGAGCTCTTTGTTTCCTCACAGACATGATGTATTTAGATTTGGATCTGGTGACTTAGGATCACCGTCTTTGCTGCGTTTGTATTGGTGTCCCTCCCTTTACAATTAATTGGGTTGCTTCCATTGGTGTTTTATGCAGTACAGTGCACTAGTGTTCCAGATACGCGGCTAAAAGACGTAGTGTGTATAAGACATAACGTGCACATGGTGATTATGTCGAAATTAGCCTAACGGATAAGTAGACTGTTGGGTAATGCTTATTCATTGATTTCGGTTTTGTTCTATGTCTCCCCCACATAGTACGATGTTTATTAACTCATTGTGAAAATAATAACCACGTCTTTATCTATATTTTTTAGTGAAAAGTAATGTGTTGAGTTGCATATTGCTAGTATTTACAAATCATGTATCATTTGAATTTATGAATCAGTGAATTTCTTATTGAACAGTTTATGATACCAACTCTTGAACTCACCAAATGTGTAGTCTAAAGTGTTTTCTTGTCGATATGTATCCCAAGATCAGAACCGTGTGCAGATGGTAGTGCTAGTAGTAAGGAAAGCTAGCACATGATATTAGTGGATGATACTACGTGTGATAACTCTTTTGAGACGATGATTAGTTGCAAATAGTTTTTGGTGGAAATTTATTATCATCGTCTTTATAGTTAGGTGCATAAACTTAGATTTTCCCATATACACATTTTGTATACATAATCTATTTGGGAAGTCTTATATACAAATGTATACAGGTGATAAAAATGGCAAAATTAACATGACTTTACGAATGGGTCATATGCCAAATTTTTGCTTGAAATTTTAGTCTAAAGATTATGATGTTACAACCTCGAAGAATACATTGGACCCACATAATCTCGACAGTACCATTGGCAAAGCTATGATATTCGGATTCGAAGTAGCCCAAAAATATGCAATAACCACTAGTACTCCGTCGAGCCATTAGAAAAGCCATCGTCACCGTGTTAATTCTCAACCGAGTTCAAACCAATCAGATCTTGAATCACATAAACAAAATCAAATCTTCAATCTTTTGTTTTAAGTTCTTTGTTTTATGACTGTTTTCTCTTGTTTGCTCTAGTTTTCTGGTTAGCAGCAACCCTTGGTTCTCATCCTGGGTGTTTTCTCTTGTTCTTTTCTAATTGTTGTCAATTTCATTGCGTTGCTTTTGGTTTACCATTGTTTTTAGTCTCTGTCGTGAAGAAAAAGATGAGTAAAGGCAAATAAGGAAATATATGGCACTAATTGGAGCAAACATCCATCTTATCTCTATCTTTAGTCATCAACAATCAAAAGTCGGTTTTAGGGGCCGTTTACTCAATTGCTTACCCGATAAGCGCTTATCGATAGACTATAATTTATTTTGGTGCGTAAGATTTTAGTACATTAAAACATATCGAATGCAACTAATTTTATTGGGTAAGTGCTTACCTGGGTAAGAGTTGTCATCCTCACTTACCGGACAAGACTCTCCATCATTCTCATAGCTCTTACCCGGTAAGATTCTTGGCTCTTCTCATATTCATCCGATTAGAAAATTTATCCGATAAACACTTACGAAATAAATGTTTAGTAATGGCCCCTTAGTTTATTAAACATAACCTCTTAAGAAAAATTAATTTTGGTTGTAGCACAATATTATATTTCTATGAGTTAAGTGGTTGATAATGTTACTTTAAAAATGAATCTTTCAAGTATAAAGAATCTGACTTTTTTTTTCTTTCTGTGGGTCAATATATTATATATATGTTCAAAGTTAGAAATATGACTATGAAATTCTTCATGGGTTAAAATGAAAAATAAAAAAACTTAAAAATAGTTTAATCTTTTTATAAAATGTTTTAAGATATATCACAAGAACAATTAATTTATTAATTAGAGATAAACAGAAATATTGTATGGAATTATAGACCCAGTCTCCCTCCTATTACATTATATATTGGTAATATAAAAACAATATAAGTAAAAAAGCCTCATTTTTCTTATTTAAAATGTGAAATAAATATGATGTGGCAAATTTTCAAGGAATATAATAAATGGAATAGTAAGTTACACTTTTTGTCTCTAATGGTATGTCAATTTTCAGCTTTGGTCCCTATAGTTCATTTATCATAAATTTTGTTCATGAATGATCACTTTTTGTTACAGAACTCGTTCCTGCCACTAATATCGTCCAACTACAAACTGTTAGGGGCCGTCACTTGTGGTATTTCGGTCTTTCTTTACGACCCCTCTTCGTCCCTAACCTATAAAAAATACCATTCTTAAATCATTTTCTTTTTCTTCCTTATATTCATCTTTTATCTTATCCAACTTGAAAATTAATCCAAATATCAAACACATTAGATCTAATTTTCAACATCAAAAATTATGTTTAACCAATTTTTGGGTACATTTTTTTAATTTTTGGTATACATTTCATTTTGATTTAGGATTTCAATTGTCCACCTAATTCTCATCTGTCCAGATCGATTCAGTCTAGTATCGACTATCCCTATCTATGCACGAAACCCACCTTTAAAGGACAAGAGATGGGGGAGGTTATTCATAGTGACCAATTCCGGAACAAAATCAATTACTCATTGACAAATTAACAGTGAATGAAGTATAGGGGCCAAAAATAGAAACAATGAAATAGACATGGATTAAAGGTGTAATTTAGTCAACGGAAATTGTGAGTGGTGGAAGAGAACCAATACCAATAATTGGCAACCAGTTTGGCCGCTGTTTCTCTCTCTAAGACTTGTATACCCCCCTCCTACTTCATTCTCTCTCACATGGATGACGCTAAATCTCCCATTCCCACTCTCCGACGTCGGAACTCCATCGAAGCATCTTCCGCTTTAATGGTCCACACCAAAGACCACCACCCTTCTTCCACCTCCACCACCACCACCACATCTAATTCTTCCGCCGATTTCGAGCTGCTATCTCTCAAACCAGCTTCCTATACCTCCCTCCGCGACATCCTCCCATCCACACCCGCCGTCGTCCAGTCGCCCAAAGTCTCCTCCTCCGCCGTCCGTTCGGGTTACGAGATTCCGATCCGAAACCGACTAGTGAAACAGGCCGCCTGGGCATACCTCCGACCCATGTCCACCTCTCCCGACTCCGGTGGATCCACCATCTTCCACCGCCTCTGGAACCGATTCTCCGATGCTTGCCTCCGTCTCGTAACCCAAATCTTCGATTGTCTGCTCCAGTCTACTATTCAACTTAGAACTACCACCTCCCGATTATAACCAACACACAGGTAAACAAATTGTAAAACATCCCAAATCTAATCATGGGTTCGTTTTAATTTCTCTTCAATATGTAGAAAAATAGATGAAACAGTTGAATTAATAAAAAAATTGGAATACAAATTTTGTTTTTTCTTGCTTCTTTACAATCTGTGCCAACGATAACTTTTTTTTTATTGATGAATCAAAGTCCTCTAGACCGCCTAAATCTTAGCCAAACTGGCTCTTTATGAGCCGAACTAGAACCATGTCTACTTGGTGATGATGGAATATGTGGTTCATCCGCATACACCCAAGGAGCCGTTGGTGCCCATCTCTCGTCACCCTGCTCTGATCCGCTTGAATTTGGAGTTGGAGTGGTCAGAGGTGGCGGCGGACGTCCGCCACCAGAGCTTTGATGGTTTTGCAACACCTGCATATAAATCATTTCATCAGTACAATCACAAATGCAATTGAAAACGATTTTCCTTTTCTGTTCATATGTTTTAGGAATTATTCAATATGCAATGATACCTGAGATGATTGTTTTGAGGATGAGGACTTGGAAATTAGATAGTGAAAGATTTCAAAGAACTTTGTTTGGCCTAATTCTGTGGAATTCTGCCAATAGTAAATTGCCACGTCCCATGCTCTGTCTCTGAATGCTTTCAAACTCTTTTCTATGTCTGTTTCATGCCTTACTATAAATGGTCTCAGCATTGCATCATATACAAACCCTGTACCCTGCAAATACCCATAAAAAACTTCCTTTTTATATCAAATTCTATGAACCAATACACATATCAAAGAAATAGCATTAATTTGTTACCTTTGTTTTAGGATACCATAAGTAGATAATGAGAGCCAGCTTCAATTCTCCATACATTGGCACCCTATGCAAAGACTCCACCTTTTCAGCACAAAATCATCGAATAAAAAAACCCCTAATTTGAATGTATACATACCATGAAATGAATATATCGCCAACTCTTTCAAACACCGTGAGAATTGCAACAATCACCCTGAGAAGAAAAACCGCATCAAGATTGGTTACAGAAAGATAACAGTTTTAAAAAACTCATATGAAGATCATCTTACCAGTACTGGCACCAAAATCTTAATTCTGCATTTCCTACTCCATGCTTCTCTATAGTTTTAAAACACTCGAACGCAGGATATGCGTATCCAAGAATCAACCTGAATATCCAATTGAAAGATAAATCCCACAATTCATAACCAATATCAGAGAAATTTGAGATTGATGAACAAAAAGACTTACACAAGACTACTTGTAATCAATTCCCCCAACATCTTTCCCTTTGCCCGCCAAAAGGGTATGCCAAATTCACTTCTGAAATTAGAAAAAAGGATATCTTTAATCTAATGGATCAATTTCGATTTCGAGTATGATCGAACAGATTTCTCAACCAAACTAGTGGATTCTGGAAAACCAGTTTCTGGTAATTGAATTCAGAAGCCGTGAAGCGAATTCATGAGAACATCCGGAAAACTGATTGAAAGCAATTCAGTCGCTAACACCCTTACAAAGTTTAGTTGCATAATTTAAGAAACAAACATAGAAAGAGGGGAATGAATCTAAAAAGCAGGGAAGAGATTATATCACCTTGATGGATTGTTTGTGGTTGTAAATGTAAAATTGAATGTGGGAAAGTTAAATTCGAGAGAGAAGAAGAAGGATTGATGGTTATGTATGTATATTTGCCAAATGGGGTTTATATATATATATATATATATATATAAATATATATATATATAAAGCAAAGAGAGAGGCGGTTGGATTTGAATGGGTAAAACGTACAAGAGACAGATAGAGAGAAAACCAGGGTTTACTTGCCTTTCTCCTCCTCTTCCAATTTTTAATTTTTAATTTTTAATTTTTAATTTGACTTTCTAATACCAATTGGTCTTGTTAAAACAAGATATAGGTCAACTTCACACAAAAACCATTTTCAAGCATAATTTCTATATTTAAATGAATTCATACCTAATACATTTATTAAAACAATATTTTTATTGAATTTTGTATGATAATATCATATTATAGAGTTTCATCATCTTATTGTTATCAAACATAATCTTTAATCTGATTGTTTTTCGTATTTTTTAATTTATAGGAACTTTTCTTTTATAATACATCATCGTCATCGACAGTTACAATTAATGTCAAAATCACCAAATTTAGTTTTATATATATATATATATATATATATATATATATATAGGGAGAGCGCGTTTGGTTCAAATGTTAACCTAAACTATTGTGTTAACTTTGTTAAACATATTCAACCAATCACAATACATCTTAATATTAGATTCATATTCATCTTAGAATTTAATGACAATGGTACATACGTAATTTTTTTATGTAACTCCTCTATCATTAATTGGGAGTTATAAAATCATAAAATCTCATTATTTGTGTTAACTTATTATGAATCTTGTTATCTTTTTTTTTAATATTGATTTTCTAGCTCTAATGTTTATGTGTGATTGGTGGAGGAGACCTGGTAGTAAATAATTTGGTATCGTTCAAATTGACATATACAAAAGATGATGAATATGTGTGACCATATGAACACAAATTTACATATGAGAACATTCGTACAACCATATAAACACAACTCGACATATATGAATTATTGTGTCAATTACGAACACAAATTGACATATATGAACCCTTGTGTCATTTACGAAACAGATTGACCTATATGTACAGTTGGTATAAACATACGAAAGATGATGAACATGTGTGACCATATGAACACAAATTCACATATATGAACATTCGTACAACTAAATGAACACAACTCGACATATATGAACTCTTGTGGCAATTACGAACACAAATTGACGTATATGAACTCTTGTGTCAAATACAAACACAGATTGACATATATGCACACTTGTGTCGTTTACAATTTTTTTCCATATACACCTCTGTTCACACATGAACAATTCTCATAAATATCGAATACTTGTTCACATATAAACCATTAACAAAAAAAAACCATAGAAAAATCTGGTGTCGAGGATCTTGCTATTGGTTTTGATTTGATGACGAGATTATTTCCCGAATGTTACATTATTATTAATGGGCAGTTACCAAACATCTCATTATCATTAATGGACAACTAAAATCTTTTCCCAAAATACCCCTTATAAATATTGTTCACTTATGTTACCTTGTCTACGTATGCAATTAATTACACTTTATGTCATTGATGATCTTAGTCATAAATTTCAAAGATCAATGACCAAAATTGGTTAACACAATAAACTTGGTTAACATTATATATATATATATATATATATATATATATATATATATATATATAGGGTTGGGTTCACGTGAGACCAAAAGTTTTTCGTGAGACTCGTAAGACCAATTTATGTCTATTGATCAACTTTATAAGCTAATTATCTAATGGTAAAGTTGCACGGTGGCAATTTTATGATTATTGAGAAGTCTTGTGGCGTTTATGAGTATTCAGATTGTCATATTGTAGATCTAATCCAATGATTGAGAATTGGTCTTATAGGTCTCACGAAAAACCTTTGGTCTCACATAATCTCAAGTGTGTGTGTATATATATATATATATATATATATATATATATATATGTTTCTTGGAAATAAGACTATCTGTATTTGTTGAAAATAATAAGTTATCTGGATGAATTGTAGTTCTAGATTTGTGAATACGGGTGAGGTGGTACGTAGGTTCCTCCTTTGAAAAGTTTGGGTGCATAGGGATATGGCTGCCTCAACCTGGTCAACGTTGCATGGAAGAATCCATTGGAATTTCGACAACGTAAAAACAAAAAAAGTAAATTAAATATATATATTTTTTTATTTTACCAAAGTTTTGAACACGCGTTGCAACCATCTCAAATCCTTCCAAATATTTAACATTTTCGTTATGAAAACTTAATTAATTTTCTTTGAATTCATGTCATGTGTAGCTTAACCTAATGTTACAGAGAATCCATAAATAATTTATCGGCAAGAGTTATCAATTTCATTTACCTTATATAGTAACACATTTATTGTTATCAAAACGGATTCATAGTGAGGGGCCATTTACTTAACTCTTACTGGGTAAGCACTTACCAACAAGAGGCCACCCTCACTTAATTACCTTATTGGGTAATATTATATGCCATCAAAATGAAATGTCCTTACTGGGTAAAAGTTTTCTCCCTCACTTACCGAGTAAGGTTCTTGATACTTATTATACCTCTTACTGTATAAGATTCTTCATCCTTGACATGCTCATCCAGTAAGGTAAATGACACCCGATAAGCAATAAACGACCATTAAGTGTTTATAACCCGATAGTGGTTACAGGGTAAGAACTTTAATCGTTACTTCTCTCTTACATGGTAAGATTATATGTAAATGTTTAGTAAACAGTACCTAAATCTCACAAATGACTTTCATCTCATATATATCGAACTCTCCTTTCTTATCGACAACTGTAATAATTTTGGTCATGTCATGAGATATACATGCATACATACACATGTATAAGCATTCAGCAATATGGCTTAGTGAATTCATGTGTACTATGTTTGTCTACCACAAACAAATAATGCAGGGAAAACCGATTGTATATCATAATCAATACAAACATTTGAATCAAAATCTCAATTTTGAAAATAACTAAACCTACCCATTTCTTAGGGTACCAAACCAATATGTACAAGCCAAACCAACTTTCCATACATCATACTAAAGGGCTGTTTGTTTGGCTCTTAATGGTGACACTAAGAGCCAACCTCTTAATCGGTAAGAGGTCAAGACTGTTTGGCAAAAAAAAAATAAGCTCTTAATGGTTACATTAACCTCTTAACCATTTTGCACCTAGAGCTTCACTAAACCATTCAGATGTTCATTTTTCCAACTCTGCCCTCTCAAGCCGTTCTTCACATCGCATCCCCCCTCCATCGTCGATTCCATTCGCCGTCTTCCCCCCTCCATCGTCGGTTCCATTCGCCGTCTTCCCCCCTCCCATCGTCGGTCTTCCATTCGCCATCTCCCCCCCCCCACGATTGTCGCCGCCCCTACTGCTTCCCTCCAGCTCTTGTTCCATTATTACCCTCATCACGTCTCCAGCCGCTCTCTCCTCCCACGCGAGATCCTCGTTCCTCATCCCACTCGATCGTGTTCTCCAGCGTCTTCTCCATCGTCTCCGTTGTCTTCTACATCGTCTCCCACTCAATTTCAGGTATTTCCCTTCTGTCTCCTTTTTCCTTCCCTCTGCAATCACAATGTCGATGAACTTAAGGCTGTTTGAATGAGGTAATCGATTTGATTGTTGGTGGATTCAAGTTATGAGCTAATCATTTTGGTATATGTTAGTTCAATACAAAAACAGTGAGAAGAGTGGAGAGGATGTAATCTCAAGGCTAGTCCTCATATTGGATCAAGCCATTTTGGTATCTGTTTATGTGCATCATTTTTTTGTTGAGGGCTTGAGAAATAAGCCATTTTCTTATTATGATGAGTTGTGCCTGATATTTGAAAAGAGTAGAGGCAATGAGAAGAGGGTTAAAATGATAATTTGTTGTCATTCAGAGAACATTTACCAAACAACCATATTTCATTCAGCACTTAACCATTCTGACCCTCTTAACCATTCTGACCATTTAACCATTCTGCACAAAACCATTCAGCAACTGCCAAACAGCCCCTAAGAAGCTTGATTGCGTCCTCGTTCCGCATATCGAATTAAACAACAACTCATACATAAACTTTTCAAAACATATAGATATATTCTAATATATTAATTAGTAATTGCTAATCATGTCAAGTGAAAAATCACCTACGTTGAGGTACGTTCCCTGTATATGTAAAACTCATGTATTTATGGTTCCATAATTTGCTGATGATGTTATGCAAGTATTTAGCATGATAATATACGTGAAAAAGTTGTTAATTTGGGTAAGAACTGTAAATTTCATTCGTGTTGAAACACATAGAAGAATACTTGTACATGTGTAATGCTATGCTTAAATCGTGTAAAGAATGAATTGGTAGATTTTTGGTATGCTGAAAACGGCTTGGTACACCACACGACTTGCAAGTCGCATGGTCAAAGTCGAGAAGATGAACGATGACAACTTGGAAGTATTGAATTGAGTTGATGGAATTAAGTAAGATGATAACAAATATGTAGGTCAAGTCAAGCACGCATCCTAAAGTACAATTAATTAATTGATTAATAAACTCATATGACGTATTATTTATTAGACTAATTTACAATTTGGTCCTACTGCTTATTTAAATTTTTGGATCCGGTACCCAAAGAAATAATCGTTATGGTCTTAATTACTTATGGATTAGATTCTTCGTTTTAACCCCATTAATCAATATTTCGTTAAGTTAGAAATATTATCTTCTCTTTACAATTTTTTAAATTATATGTATTATATACATATATATATATATAAATAAAAATCCATACACATAAACAAATAGAGGACAACCTTCCCAAGAATTTCTTCTAAGTAGATCTTCACCTCATTGAAATTACTACAATTGAAGGAGATGAACCCTTGGCCCCCAAACCCATCTCCGATGACCTAACAAAATCAATATCAAGAATACTTGTTTTAAAAACAAAATGTTATACAAAACTCATATAAATCAATAATTCTAAACTAAACAAAAAAAAACCTAGCTCAAG